TGTATCACTCAGATCCTTCAGCAACTTATGATTGTGGCCGCCAAGGCCCTGCCTGTCCTAGAGAAGCAGCTGACAGATCCCCGGGGTCCTGGAGACATCAGGGTAAGCTGCTGACCAGCGGTGACTCCAGGGGCTCTGGGAATTCTCTGAACCCTGAAAGTCCAGAGCTTGAGTGGGTCGTCATGTGATGCCTAGCCCTCTTGTCTGGTGAGATGGTACAGAGAAGACATCAAAAGCTGCTGTGGTGCCTGGGAGTGGTAGTTTGAGGGGAACTGGGCTCAAGCTGGCACCAGTTGCTTCTCTCTGTGGGTCTCTGTTCTTGGCCTCCAAATGAGCACGCTGTCTGTACAGGGGAAGGTAGGAAGCAAGGTGGGTGTGTGGGAGTGTGACGGGAGGCACTGCTGACCTCTCCCTCCTCCCTCCCTTAGACAGTGTTCCGGCCACCCTTGGACATGTATGATGTTCTCATCCACCTGTCCCCCCGGCACATTCCCCGGCACCGCCAGGCCGTGGACTGTCCAGCTGCCTCCTTCTGCCGGGGCCTCCTCAATGAGCCAGGGCCCTCATCCATGATGCCTGTACTGGGCTATGATCCTCCACAACTCTATCTGGCCCAGCTTAGGGTAGGTCCTAAAGGGCTGGCTGACCTGGCAAACAGACCTCCAGGCGGAGCTGGGGCCATGGAGGAAGTACTTAGGGGCCCTCCTGTAATCTTGTTTTTGTTCTGTCTTCCTAGGCGGCCTTTGGGGATCTGGCCCTTTTCTTCTATGACCAGCATGGCGGACAAGTGATCGGGGTCCTCTGGAGGCCTGCCAGCTTCCAGCCCCAGCCTTTCAAGGTGACAGCCGTGTGTTTCTGAGCATGTGTATGTTGTCCCCTGTGGTAGTCTGCTTCATGAGCGACCCTGAGTCAAGTGTATTACACTCTCCTCCCACCTCTATTTACTCCCTCCCAGGGTCTCAGGCTGTACTTGTTTCACCTCAGTCCACATTTCTTCTGTCTCCCTCAGGCTTCCAGCACAAAGGGTCGCATGGCGGTATCACAAGGTGGGCAGCTAGTGACAGTGCCCAATGTAGAAGCAATCCTGGAGGATTTTGCTGTGTTGGGTGAAGGCCTGGTTCAATCTGTGGAGGCCCGAAGTGAGAGGTGGACTGTGTGATCCCAGCCCCGGAGCAAGTGGTAGATGGACAGCGGGACTTCGAAGCCCTAGAGCAAGATGTCGGAGGAAGTCACCTTCCTTGCATATGGCCCCTCCATGGAGGACCTGTTGACCTTAACACACTGAATTGTTCCCAGAGAGAGGCTTGGTCCTGGACTGGGACAGGGGCCATGGTGTATTGTGAAGACTCCTAGACCTGATTGCCTGAAATCCCAGAAGAGGAGTAGGAGCCAGCTCATAGGAAACTGAGCCAGGAGACCATCTGCCTGTCAGCCCTGGCCTGAGATCTTTCCACTCTTACTTTGTCTGTCATGGGGCTTGAACTCAGGGCCTGGGCACTGTCCCTTAGCTTTTTCACTCAAGGCTCTACCACTTTGAGCCACGGTGCCACTTCCAGTTGTTTGGAGATAAGTGTCATGGACTTTCCTGCCCAGGCTGGCCTCAAACTGTGATCCTCAGCTCTCAGCCTCTCCTGAGTAGCTAGGATCATTCTGTTTCTTATTACCCTTGTAGGCTCCTTCCAAAAGCAGTTCAGACGTAGTGGATGTGTGCCTGGGGTGGAGGCTGTGTCTAGTTCTTCTTGGCACAACAACCTGCCCTTCATTGTAGCTTCAGCCTTTAAGCTGGGACCCAGAGGAGGTATGGCTGTCCCTGAGAGTCAAGGCTCAGCAGTGGAGACCACACTGAAGGGGCACAATTCCCTCCTGTGTTGGCACTGCTGCCCCCAGGGTGGAGACAGTGGAAGAGGACACAGGACGGGAAGGCCTGGGTGGGTAAAGGAGTCAGGGGGTTCTGGAGGTCTTTAGTCCGGGAGAGAACAGAAAGCACTGAGTGCTGCCCCCAGCCTCTCAGTGTCCAAATCCCCCCAGCTCTGAGCAGCTAGCTGCCCATTCATTTTGCAAACTGCCCCACCCCACTGCAGCGGGGTTATAGAGGTAAATGAGACCCAAGTCCTGCACTCCAGGGCCCTAGGGAGGAGGGGATGCTGTCTCTTTCACTGTGGTCCACACCTCCTTTCTGGCAGCCGCTCCCTGCTCCTCTGTCTCTCCTAATCCTAGCTGTTTTTCTAGACTCAGCTCAAATAGTGCCCCTCCTAGGCCCTGCCCTGCCCCCCAGCCTGAGGTGCTTATTCCCTCCTGTGAACTGTGAAAGTAGCTACTCCTGCTGAGTTCACTGGGCAGGCACTGCAGTGTGAAACCTGTCTATTGTCTTGATTTCTCACTTACAATTAAATTGCCTAATTCTTCCCATGTTCCTTGTTTGTCTTCCCTTTTCGTATGGTTTTTACCTGGTCTCCCACGTATAAACCTCATGGAGGGTTCTGTAACATATATGTGGAATTTGGTCATATTGCCATACCAACTCGAAAGGAATTGTGGTATTCCATCCTCAAGTTGCTAGCCACACATGGGAACTCTGGTCTCCAGTGTCTCAAAATCTGTTGTTATTCATGGACTTCTTTTTCCCCCCACCATCATGGTATAGTTTGCCCAAGGTTGGAACAAGCATAGGGGATAAATTGATTGATAGAGTGATCTGGGGTCTGCATCTCTCTCTGTACTATGTATTCATTTATGTTCAAGCACAGTGTCCCAGGTTTTATTTGGGGCAAAAGAATTGTAACCTCATCTTGTGATGCCCTGTAATTCATTATCCACTAATTCATGATCCACAGTCGTCCTTGGCTCATTCCTTCTGCACAGCCTCTTGCAGGTCCTGGAGAAGGCTAGAGATTTCTACCCCATTTCAAACCATCTTGTTTCATCCCCAGGGCAGCTCTTTCACTAACCCAGTGTGGGAAGATGGAATCTGCCCTCAGGCAGAGCTTCAAGTGGCTTGAAGAGCTATGTAGACTGCAGTACCCATGCAGAGGATGGGATGTGGGCCTGGTACTTCCCTATTGTGGTCTTAGGCAGATTACTTCCTCTTGGACTCAAGTCTAAAAGAGGAGTGACATCTCAGGAACTCAAAATCCCCACCATCTTGTCCTATACTGTGTCCCTGCAGGGTTGAGGATAGCCCAGGCTTTAAAGTCCTTCAAGTGAAAGCTCCAAGCTGCTTTTTCCAGATTTTCTCTGGGAAGTAAATGAGGAAGAAAGCTCATGTCCAAGATGACTCTGCCTTGCCTCTTTGTTGGAGCCCAAGATGACTCTTGTCTGACCATTTAAGTTCCAGCACATTGGGGTACCAGAGTAGAGAGGTACTCAGGATGTGGTTAGAGTTTGGGAGGGAGCCTGGCAAGTCTCATGTGTCTTCTTGGTGGTGTCTGACTCTGGGTTTTTGTTTTTTTGGGTCCGGTCATGGGGCCTGAACTCGGCCTGGGCACTGTCCCTAGGCTCTTCAGCTCAAGGCTAGTGCTCTACCACTTGAGCCACAGCATCACTTCTGGCTTTTTTTGTCCTTATGTGGTGCTGAGGAATCCAACCCAGGGCCTCATGCATGCAAGGCAAGCGCTCTACCACTGAGCCACCTTCCCAGCCCTGACTCTGGGGTTTTGCCCTTAATTGCAGGCAGATCTAGATGGGATCTGAGGTGTGTGCTGGCATGTGCACATCAGTATGCACTAGTCCTTGTGTGGGCTTTGTGTGTGTGAGTGTTAGTACTAGGGCATGAACTCAGAGTTTGGGTACTGTCTCCTAGTTTTTTCACTCAAGGCTGGTACTCTACTAATTGACCCATAGTCTTCACGTTTAGTGTGTGTGTGTGTGTGTGTGTGTGTGTGTGTGTGTGTGTTGGTGATTAATTGGAGAAAAGAATTGCATGGACTTTCCTGTCCAGACTGGCTTCAAACTGGGATCCTCAGATCTTAGCCTCTTGAGTAGATAGGTTAATAGGTGCAGGTGTGAGCCACTGGTACCTGATTTTGTGTAGGTTTTTGCTTCTGTTCTAGTTAATGTGAGAAAGGGAAAGCATCTACTTTTGGAGACCAGGTCAGGAGACAAAGTTCTTGAGGAAGAAGTAGAAATCCTGGATTTTTTCCTACTGCTTTAAATAAAATGCTTTCTTTGGGAGAAGGGCCCTCGAATTTTCCCCCAGTTCTCACCTACTCTCTAGTTCAAGTTACTGAACCCAAAGGGTCCTTTCTTGCTGTACTATGGGCCACCTCCTCTCTACCTCTTGTTCCTCTGCTGGGTCCTCTGTCAGGTTCCCGTACAACAGGTTACCTTCAGTTCCTAACCTTTTAAGTCAGATTTGGGCAACTAACCTCCCTCTACCTGTCACCTCCTCTCTCCAACATCCGGTACTTAGGTTTATGAGTCACAGATTATCCAGGTGAGTGATAAGGGAGAGGGGAAGCCTGGGGCACATGAGTCACTCACTCTACCCTGTGCAGGAAAGGCCAGTCTACCATCCCCCTGCTTCAGAGAGGGAGAAGGAGACACCTCAGAATGACCCCAGGAACTAAGGGGAACCTAGACAAGAGGTGTTTTAAATCCAGAGAAATACTTCTTTCTCATTTCAGGTTCTAAAAGGGAGGGAAGATAATTTTTTGGTGGTGGTGTTGTGTTGGTTGTGGGGCTTGAATTGAGGGCCCATGCACTGTCCCTGAGGTTTTTTGTTGTTGTTTTTGTTGGGTCCGGTTGTGGGGCCTGAACTCTGGGCCTGGGCGCTGTCCCTCAGCTCTTCAGCTCAAGGCTAGCGCTCTACCACTTGGGCCACAGCACCACTTCCGGCTTTTTCTTTTTGCTTATGTGGTGCTAAAGAATCGAACCCAGGGCCTCATGCATGCAAGGCAAGCGCTCTACCACTGAGCCACCTTCCTAGCCCCTGTCCCTGAGTTCTTTTGCTCAAGGCTAGCACTCTACTTTGAGCCACAGTGCCACTTCCAGTGGTGGTCTTTCCCTGTTCTCCCTCCACACCCCCCCCCACACACAATCTTCCAACCTATGGGGTTCCCTTGGAGCTCTCCTCTCAGGACTAGAGATCCTCAGGAAGGCATTCTGAAGTCTGATCGCCTGCTGCACCACCTGTACCCTCTCCTGGATCCTTTCCTGTGACTTTTCTTCTTTGGGTGGATCACTGGAGGCTTCCCTATAATTAGCAGTCAGACTAGGCTGGGATGAGGGGAGAGCACACTGGGGCCCACATATACTCATCATCTTTCTGGCATGTCAGATTCAGAGCCCTCTGTTCAATCTCCATCTGTGTCCCCTGCCCTTAGACCACAGGTCCTTCCCAGAGCTGGTCCCAGGCCCTACTTCAGCTTCTATCCAGCTTCAACTTCAGTTTTTTCACCATCTGCTTTTTTCACTCTGCTTCCTAAATCCTGAGTTTATACCCCCCTCCCTCCCTCCATCCATTGCCCTACATCTGGTCTCCTATTACCTTTCTATGGCCTCCTAGCTTTAGGTCTGATTCAATCCATCCAGTCAACAGCTATACTATTCAGAGCTCCCATTAGCCACGATCCCAGTGAGAGGACATTTGACAACTCAGAACTCCAATGTCAAATTGGATTGACTGAAGTGATAGGTGGGGTAATGACTCTGTTCCTTGGCTTACTTGTCCCAACCTCCAGTTGCAGCAGTGTCTGTGAGAGCCTGGGGCTTAGAGCAGCACAGTTCAAATATCTCTTGCCTTGTGGATAAGGTCCAGGCCCTTAGTATTAGAACCCAAGCACTTACCAGTCCACACATCTTCCCTAGACCCTTGACTGCTTTTGTCTTTATGCTCAAGTATGAGCCAGCAGTCTTTCACTAGAAAACTATATAGACCTGCGCCCTGGAAGCGTGTGCGCACGCGCACACACACACACACACACACACGAGTACACACGCACACACAAAGCTAAGCATGCTCCTGGAGGTGCGGGAGTATTCACATGTGAAAAAATGTGGCTCTGGTTAGAGTTGGCTTTTCTCAAGAATGTTTGGGGCTGGGAAGGTGGCTCAGTGGTAGAGCGCTTGCCTTGCATACATGAGACCCTGGGTTTGATTCCTCTGCACCACATAAGCAGAAAAAAGCTGGAAGTGGCGCTGTGGCTCAAGTGATAGAGCGCTAGGCTAGAGCTGAAGAGCTCAGGGACAGTGCCCAGGCCCAGAGTTGAGGCCCCATGACTGAAAAACAAAAGAAAAAAAGAAAAAGAATGTTTGCTGCAATGGTGACTGTGTAGCTTGGTGTTCAAAACATAAAACTTTTATTTATTTATTTTTGTTGGTCATGGGGCTTAATCTCTGTGCCTGGGTACTGTCTTTGAGCTGTAGCTAGGATTACAGGCGTGAGCACTGTAAACGGCAGGCACATAAAACGTTTTTTGTGTGTGCCAGTACTGGGGTTTGAACTTAAAGTCTTCTTCTGCTGCTGCTGCTGTGTGTATGTGTGTGTGTGTGCGCGTGCATGCACAGGTGTTGGGGCTGGAACTCAGGGTGTGGACACT